ATCGCAAATTCTCCGCCAGCGGATGCGAGGTGTATAAATTTGCATGGTGGGCATGGAGGTAACGGTCGCTGCATATCTCGTTATTAAATGGTTCATCTTGGGACCTCGTATACGCTTGCTATCGGCCGAGAACTGGGCCTCGCCACTGACGCCGGCGCATAATAAGATGTATGTAGTATTCCACACGCCTCTCCGGCGCGCCTCCGGCTTATCATCGCCAACCCGGCTGTCCGGAAGTCGGACATTGGGGAGGCTCTGCCGCATTGTTCAGTGGCCGGCCGCTCGGTGGAAGCAATTGACATGTCATATATGGCGATGCTGCAACCGCCAGAGCCCCATCCTCTAGCTTCGGGAGTTGACGTCGGCGTAAAACATGGCGAACATCAACCACCGTTGAGAGGCTCTTCTCACTGATCACAACAAGCTCTTGTTGAGGACGCAGGCGGAATAGGCTATTGGATGAAGCATCCACCTTCGCTTCGAAAGATGGTGTGTTGCGTGTGGAGCACTCTTCGTGCAGTCGCCATCGCACGCCTTTTCACACCACCACCACCACACATCAAGCAGTCTGTGCAAGAAAAACAGGGTTCTGGGCCATGCGGTAGATCGGAAACGGCGTCTTTTAAGCTACACCCTCACCAGCAGGTTAAATGAGACGTTTGTGGCGATGGTTCCTAAAAAAAACTGCACGTCGATCAGGGTCCTACGGCCCAAGCAGAGCGGGCCCCTAAAACTTGGCATTTTATGTATGCGGTATGCAAGTCGTGATGGATGGAAAGAGGCCGAGAGATTTCGACAACGTTCGTTGAAGAACCGCTGCGAGATCTGCCTAAGGCGGGCTGACGTTGTTGGGTTGGGGAATTGGCAAACGAGATGGTTCCCATTTAACGAACTGGTTCCGTGATTCGTAGTTGATGTTGTAGAGATGGTTACGGGATCTCCGTAGTGTATGCTGTGATCTCATATTGAAGCTCGTGGTGTGGTCGTCGTGCATCTGGCGATGACAAATAGGGGTAGGCTGTTGCTGCTTCGAAGCAACGCACAATTCGGCAGACAATAGTACGGGTTGCAAGCTTGTTCAGGGAGCAAAAGACCCTATATTCCCTTCTTGAGAGTATGCAGTGGTCTAATACATCACTTAACGTGATATCAGAAGCTCCTCGTCATTCCGACTGTGCAACGAGTTCACCCATCCGCCTGTTCGAGCTCGAGGCAGCCACCGCCGTTGGAAATGGGACACAAGAGTGTCTCGGACAGGGAGACACAAGATCGACGGTTGGTCGTAACCACCGTACCGAAGCGGCCACGACATGATCTCAGGGTCATTGCGTGTAGCGTCGGGGACGTCTCCCAGACGCCGAGAACATGAGTCTCGTCCCATCGTCCGTCATACCGGCGCTGAACGTTGGCCCTGCGCCCCCTAGTACAGCGCCCAGGTAAGGTCTCAGGATTCGCTGCAACGAGTGAAGATCCAAAAGGTGTTGCGTGCAACGATAGGTGCCGAAGACGGAGACTATAGTCAGATTCCCGGGAACGAACTTCCACGTACGACCATAGATACTGGAAAATTCGGGATCCCGTCCGCTCTCCCATAGACAAGTCAGTAATCGTCAAACTAGTACTCGGGTGGGTGACCACCGGGGAATCCCTGATGTTGTACGTTTTTGCATCTTTGGAACGATTTTGTTCGTGGTGGGCGTCGAATGTAAGACGTCCGGACGGTGAGCCCGAGGAGTGCTGTTCCTGGCAAGTGGTCAGTGTCAATGGCCTAGCGAGCGTTCTTTTGCCTGGATTGAGGATCCAAACTTGTCATCGTCACGCAATTATGTGTTGCGGGAACGAGAGCCTCATCGACGGGATATGTGCCAACCTTATTGACATGCGAGGATACGGCATCATGCAATCCCATCCCTCAAATGGCAAACAGTCGACGACTGCTCAACAACCCCCTGGTGGACGCTGAGGCAGCGATGGGATGCTTGTGTCTGGGCCTTCGGAGGATTGAAGAGCTGCCCTCTCCTGAACACATGTAGCTAGTATATCGTGACGTCGACTGTAGTCGGCACCGCGTAGTGTGGTAGTCCAGTGAACTCCGGCCCAGAACAGAGGCAAACAGGGCAACACTGTTGGCACAGAAGCCAGCCGACACGCAAGTCAGAACCCGAATGAAGCCAGCGTAGCCGGCAAGCCTCACTCCAGCGAACCACTTCAAGCACGCCTGTCGTTGTTGGAGCAGTTTTCCTCTCCACACCACTTCCCAATGGGAAGCTTACCGGCCCATAGTAAGGCCAAGTCGGTGTCGAGAGATAACCCAGCCTAGAGTGAGCAGGTGTCAGGGGCCCAGTCCAATCCAAGTTCGGGGCCATGGCGGCCTGCTGGGCTTGGTCGGCCGAGTTTGTCTGTCGCTTGCCAGTGCCGTAGACGAAACGCTCATCGACAACACTGCCATCAGAAATATCCAATCCAGGGTCCTTCGTTAGCCAGCCGAAGGTGAGTGCTGCAGGCAACAGAAACTTGGAACGCGTGCTGTATATGCTGGTAGTCCTCCGGGAGCATTTTCGCCGTTTCTGGACATATCCTGTAGAACAATCATCGGAGACGCTTGGGGTTTGTTGGTCGAAGCTACCGTGGCACTCCAGCAACGTTCGCCTCGACATGACCACAGACCGACCTGACCGCAGTGTCGTAGTCGGCGCCAACGGGAACGTACTCGAGAATTCGGATGGTGATCTTGCGTGTTAAGACGTTGAGACTTGGATCTCCCGTCCAAAAAGTGCCATGTCCAGCTGTCAGGAAACTTGAGCCCTGAGATACGTGCGAACAGTCGTCCAGGGTGCCTCATCATCCATACTCTTTTTGAGGAGTAAGCACCTCCTTTTCGTAGCAGCCGATCGCATGCTTCTGACATACATTAATCGTTACCAGACGATATGCCCATACGGTAGGCCATCACAGTCTTCTCCATTCTGGACCTCGACTGCTTTCTCGCAACTGGTGGCTTCGTTCTTGGGCATTGCTTTGGCTTCGCCTCGTCCCTGGCTGCACGCTGAAAGATGTCGCCCGCGAGTCACGCTGGTAGTCCATTGATTGCTCGGAGTGATGCCGCTCCGTACCCGCTTGCTGGTTTCTCTCCCCGTCTCTCACCCACACCCCGGGCGCTTCTGACTGCGGCGGTCCAGGACCCCAGAGCTCCTTCAATGCGAGTGCCTCGCGGCAGCAGCAAGGTAGACAGCCGGTAGTCCCGTCGTGGGATATCTTGGCGAGGGCGCGCGTCCGCGCGCCATCTCATCGTCCGCCATGGTTTTAGTCTGGTTATCGGCTCCTCTTGGTTGGTCAGTCACTGTGTGTAAGATACTTCGTCTGTGGTGAACTTAGACCTTCCGGGCAAGAAGACAGATAGCACCATGGGACAGGACCTGGGTGCATGTGATGGATTCTTTTTCCGCCTATCGTGTCCCTTCTCCATCGCTCTGTACCGTCGATTTCGGGTGACCTCGGAGAGCGACAAGCTTCTGGTAGCTAATCGAAACCAAACGCCGGAGGTCTTCGTATCGTGCTGCAACACAGCAGGGTTTCGGTCGTGGAGGTTCAGTGATGGCATTTGGAAGTCGATCCAGGTCGAGAAATAGCTATCCAGGTCCTATATGGAGCTTTCGAGTCGGAAGCGAAACATGATGCTTTCCTCACGTCGAGCTGATGGGCGAACGGCATCGTATCCGTCCACCCCGTGCCGTCTGTGGCCCTCAGCCTTCAGCCCGAGCTGGAGTAGCCGCCGTTGGAGGTGATACTGGAGCTGAGCCTCGTACCGGGAACAAGGTCCACGGCTGCCGCCTGCTCGGTCCTGGGAAAGGCCTCTTTTCCAGAAGAACGCCCTCTCGTTGGGTGAGCGTAGATGACCTCGCCGACAGAGTGTCCCGATACGCCGCCATAACTGCTAGGTGAGGTGAGCAAAAGTGGCTGTCTTGCTCTTGGCCTTTGCGACCACGAATGGCTCTGAAGTCGGACGGGGAGGCAGCAACGGGTGCGCCTCGAGCGGAATGGCAAAAGGACGTGGGGCTGCCGTTCGGAACAGTCCATAATCCATCGCGCCACGGGCTGGTTCCTGGCTTCCGTGCCCGGTCTTGATCCCAGGCACATATTCAATAGCCTTTAACCCGCCGGGTTTATCGCCATTGGGCCATTGATGAACGATGCCGAGCCCATCAGTGCACAAGATCTGGTGAGTGGACCAACTCCTACCTCGATCATGTCGGTGATGGTATCGTAGCAGACTCCCGGTGGGTTCGTCAAGCGATCTCCCAACTCGAAGTATTTCCAGACACACCGCCTCGATAAGACGTCACTCCGCCTTTCCCCTGCCCGCGTAAACTTTCGTGACCTGAAACTGACCCGTCGAGATCCATCCGGCATGACTCGTTTAAAGACACAATCGCCAACCCGAAAGCGCTAGTCGAACTCGGTCCGGGATTGCGAGCCGATTCATCACGAACAACAACGGGCAAAGTGCCAGAGTGGTTAATGGGTTAGCCTCGAAAGCTAATGGCTTCGGTCGCGCAGGTTCGAATCCTGTCTTTGTCGTAAACTTTTGCCGTTTCCTTCGAAGAAATGAAGGATGCATCCTGCTTCAGGGTGCATGTGCTTTTTGATGGCGTTCGGAGATGTTGTTCAACTGCGCCATGTTCGAGGGATATCTTACCATGGGCCCCAGCTGAGGCTTTCTATGCTGGAGGGCTTCACTCTGTTTTGACTCTTTGGATGTTCGACCAGGAGCCCGTCACTAGGGAAGAGTTGCAGCATGCAAGCGGGGGAGAGCCGCCAGTGTCAAGCTTCTGTTGGGACGTCGCTGGTCGCGGAGACATGTGTGGACTGGACCTTGACAGACTGCTACGCAGCGTTGGTTGCCACACGCAGCAGTAAGGGAGTATGTGCATAGTGCAAAAAGAGAAGCACTCGTCAATCTCAGCAATCCTGAAATCAAAGGTGATGGAAGCAAAAGAATTTGATCGTTGCAGGGGTCGAACCTGCGACCTTCTGCGGTTTCTTCCACCTGTGAAGGTAGATGTAAAGCAGACGCTCTAACCACTGAGCTAAACGACCAGTTTTGATCGAATCGGAACGCGGGATCGGTCGGATCGGATGAATGTCGGAGCCGCTAAGTGTGCTTGTAAAGGAGCAGCCTCGGCGACGTAATGAATTCGTTGTAATTTAAAGCTTTGAGCTCCAGCCAGAACCGATGCTTGATGCTCCGTGTTGTGAATGCGGAGCTGCTGGACTCGGACATCTCTTCGGTGAGAAAGACAAAGCAGACGGTATTGTCTTCATCCAGGTTGCCAAGTCGGTGGTGGCTGTTTTTAGACCTGTCGATATCTAACAGAACCAAGGCCTGGAGTCTCCATCCTGGACAAAGAAGCGAATAATTCTTGCTCGAGGCGAAGCACTTGATACAGCTTTTGGTTGCGCTTTGCGTAAAAGCCTCTCCATCGCCCTGGAGGCTGAATGGAGTACAGTGGTCAAGTTGACCTCAGTCTGGTAGCTTGGGAATCTGATATAGTTCCCCTGAAATGCATCGCGGAAACACAGGAGGCCGCCACGTGTTAAAGGCCGAATGCCTCTTCATCCGGATGGCCTAGACGGTTTCAACCTCCCGGACCGGACACGAGGGAAAAGGCAGCTCGGCGACCAGGCACACGTCTGGAATGAGGCGTTTATTGAAATCGCGGGTCTGTTAGAACTTCTTTGAATTGGCGAAGGTGCAAACCCCGCCAAACAATGACCGACTTGGAATGACGATGCGCGGCAGACGGCGCTAGGCCGCATTCGGGTGCAAGGCAGATCTTCCTCTCCCCCAACTCAAGGTGCCCCTCTTTTTGAAGTTGAGCAGTGCGGGTTTCCATCTGATGAGCTCTCTTTGCATCCTCATCCGACGAATTCAGCTTCTCCAAGCATTGTTGAAGCAACTGCGATCCCTTGCATCAATTGTCTGTCTCTCAAACCGGCTACTTCTCTCTCCACGATGGAATAGACACCCCGTGCAACTTGTCTTTTCCCTATAGCCCCCCATCGCCCTCCCTTCCGCGTTCCAGCTGTCCTGCGTGGCCCCCGCGATCTGAGAGTGGTTATTGACGCAACCGTGCCGCTATCACCACCGCGCCCTTAGTCACTGCCCTCCGGATTCACCAGTGACTGTATCTACACTACCTTCTGTTACCTGGCGACCTATAAACCTGAATATACTGCCTTACTATCTAGCATCTGATCTGTGACTGTCTCTCAGAGAACAGGGCAGACCGTGATCTTGGATATACCCTCAGACAGGTAGAGCTACAGCTCCGAAACAGCGACAACGACAACACAAGCCTTCGTACCAGAGGCCAATCAGACCCTCAAGAAAAGGAGAAGACGGTGGACTGAAGCCACGAGGAGAAAAGCAAGACACAGCTTTGCAAGAGGGTCCAGAAGAACGGATTGTCGGCTTGTCCAAGACCGGCTTTACATTCCATTCCAGAGGCCAGAAGGGACAGGTCTCACACACAAAGCGCCGTCTTCGCTTTCTCCCTCCTCTCTTTGTTTTGGTGTGCAATTCCCGTCTCTTCTTCTCCAGATTCAACATTTGAGACTTCTCCAGCTGCATCAGACGAAGGAAAAGAAAGAGAAAGGGACTTCAAGTTGTGCAAACAGACGGAAACATAGCAACTGCCTTTTCATCCATCCCGGAGGGGCGCTCAGCAGGCCAGATCCATCCATCTGATCACGCATCTGATCATAGGAGCCGCAACTGTGCATCATCCGAACCTTAACCACTTCCACTTACCCAATCAACCCGGTCTCTTTGGTCAAGCAACTACCAGGTCGGCTCTTATACACGAGGGCAATCTGCAATTCTTCTGATCAGTCATTTGCGACTGGTTGTTATTCGCATTTGCGGCTCCCCAGATTATCCCATTGGAGCGGCTCACCCCCGCTCTTCCCAAATCTCATCGAACAGACCTTGCAGGTCTCCTCCGTCTTGATGCCTTCTCTCGGCTTCCTAAAGAAGAAGCGGACCAGAGACCACCATCCTGATCCCTCCACCTCCAGCCAGCCGAACAGTCCCATCACGCCTACCCACTCCAAGACGAACTTCAGCAACAACACCGACTCCAACCAAGCTCCCGCCACGCAAGCGCATCCTAGTGCAGCTTCGGCAACCTCGACTTCAACACTCGGCACCGCGCTCCAACAAGGCCAGAGCAACCAAAGCTACCAGAGCAGCCAGCACCCGAGCCTCCAAAGTCAACAGAGCCAGCAGGGACAGCCGAGCCAGCAGGCGCCACCCGAGGGATCACAAATGCATAACGCTCATCTCCAACACGCCTATGTCTCGCCGCCGCAACCAACCCCGTCTCCCGGAACCCAGCCGCAGAACCTACCGCGCATCGCCAACCTCATCAACCCTCAACAACATGATAACTCCCCACAGTCCTATCAACAACAGCAGCAATTAGGATCCGCATTCCCCGTACCACCAGGCAACGGCCCTCCCGCTGGTCAGCAACAGCAGCAGCAATATCCCCCCATGATGTCGCAACCACAACAACAGCAGCAACCGCCTCAACAGCAGGCGCAGAACCAGCAACAGCAGCAGGTCGTCCAGGACCAACCCCGCGTGACCAAGGGCAAATATTCGCTGGCCGATTTCGAGATACTGAGGACGCTCGGGACAGGTAGTTTTGGTCGCGTTCATCTGGTTCAGTCGCGGCATAACCAGCGATTCTACGCCGTCAAAGTGCTCAAGAAAGCGCAGGTTGTCAAGATGAAGCAGGTAGAGCACACCAACGACGAGCGGAGGATGCTCGGCGAGGTCAAGCATCCCTTCCTCATTACGCTCTGGGGCACCTTCCAAGACGCCAAGAACCTGTACATGGTCATGGACTTTGTCGAGGGCGGCGAGCTGTTTTCTCTGCTGAGGAAGTCTGGTGTAAGTTCTTCTCCCCCATCCCTGGCCAACCTGGCCATCACCGGCTTGTACTGATGCCCTTGCGCAACAGCGATTCCCCAACCCTGTTGCCAAGTTCTACGCTGCCGAAGTCACACTCGCACTCGAATATCTCCATACACGAAACATAATATACCGAGACCTGAAGCCCGAAAACCTGCTCCTCGACAGGCACGGACATCTGAAGATAACAGACTTTGGATTTGCGAAGCGTGTCCCTGACAAGACGTGGACGCTCTGCGGCACCCCCGACTACTTGGCACCGGAAGTCGTTAGCAACAAGGGGTACAACAAGTCTGTGGACTGGTAGGCCTTCCCGCTCTCTTCCCCTCTTCCCATCAGCCGGAATCACATACTTACCATTGTCTTCCCTTCCAGGTGGTCTCTAGGCATCCTAATCTACGAAATGCTCTGCGGCTACACGCCCTTCTGGGATGGCGGATCACCGATGAAGATCTACGAAAACATCATGAAGGGCAAGGTCAAGTATCCGGCATACATCAACCCTGACGCGCAGGACCTGCTGGAGCGGCTCATCACGGCCGACCTCACGAAGCGACTGGGCAACCTGTACGGGGGCTCGCAGGACGTCAAGAGCCACGCGTGGTTCGCCGAGGTGACGTGGGACCGCCTCGCGAGAAAGGACATTGACGCGCCGTACACGCCGCCTGTGAAGGCGGGCGCCGGCGACGCGAGCCAGTTTGATCGGTATCCGGAGGAGACGGAACGATATGGGCAGCCTGGGTCTGACGAGTGAGTCTCTTTCCCTTCTCGGCGCAGTTGAGTGCGAAGGGCTTGTGCTAACGATGTTACAGATTCGGCCAACTCTTCACGGAGTTCTAAACGGCGAGTTACTGTGTCCCGGAAGTGTCACGCCTCTCTTCGATGTCACCTGTGCGCCATTGGATACTCCTACTTTGGCGCCAGAGGCCGATAGCATTCCGGGACACATACCATTTTTTTGTGTCTATCAAACATCAACCGCAGGGTGTACGAAGGTGACCGGTGTGAGTGTCTTTGGGTTAGGGTTTTGGTTTGCTTGTTAGGAGGACCTGGGATGGGACGTGTCCTGGATCGAATTGGATGGTGTGCTCGGGAATGGGAAAGGGCATCAAAGTTAACAAGGAAAAGGGGACATTGTCACTATTATGGTATGCGAGGGAGAGCAGTAGCACTATGCAACATGAACCTACGATATCACTGCCTGGAGACTGACCCAAGCCCATCCTGCAGTGAGGAGGGAAGTCCTTACGCTGAGTCCTAACCCTAGGACTTAACAACCCTCGTGCGGGGCAGCTCGTATCGATAAACCCAGCACACGCCAACCCCGCCTCCAATTGGGAGCTGGGAGCTCTGGCCAAGACCCACAGCTAACCTCGCCCAGCCCCCCACAGCGGCAGGACTTCCGGGCCGCTGACTGGGCGGAAAGGTCTGGACCGACCGGCCATCTCTCTTTCCCAATGTCCCATGTCACGGAGCACAGGGCAGGCGTTGTGCTAGGGGTCGACATGCAGCTTATGTTGCGTCCGTTCTTTCTTGATTTGGATTGAATTTTCATCTGATTTTTACGTCTTATGTTGTCCCGATTCCATGCTGGAGTTTGAGTCTGACATTGAGATTAAGCCCTGGCATAACAATCGGGCTTAGACTTAAGACTAGGAATGGACGGCTACACGAATAGTCCCGAGCCAATGTCCCCCATAGCAGAGCACGACTTCGGCAGGGCCAAGCAGTTCGATGCCGTCATGAAGCCGACGACGATGGACGACTACATGTTCAAGAGCCACGTGCAGAGCTGCAAGAACGTGGTGGAGGCGACGAGTTATCTGGAGATACTGAATTATTCTGTTTGTCTTCCCCTGTTTTTGAAATGAATATTGGACAAGATGTGAGAGCGAGCTGAGAGAAGAAGGCAGAAAAGCTAACTGTATAGGATCCGTCATACAACTGCGTGGAAGAACACCCCTTGACGGACGATGAGTTTGAGAATTTCTTGCATCGGCGGGTGAGAAAGAACTCTATATTAAGCCCAGCATTGATTGAGCCGTGACAACTGACAGCAGGCAAGGGCGCATTCGAACCTCCCCCCCTAAAACCGGGCGTCAGGTTCCTAAACGGCATC